CTGGGTCCCGGGGCTTTAACGTTTCAGCAGCGATTTTTCTTTGCCCCGTGACAAACTTTGCCGGCGTGGTTCCGGCGCGGCGCGGGATGCAGGGGTACCGGCTTACCGGGTGCGGGGACGCGGCACACGGCGACCGCCGCCTGGAGTCGCCGCCCGGAGCGGGGCGGGGGAGCCGGTCCGCGGGGCCCACCTGCCCCGACGGCTCCGTTAAACGAGCGATTTGTCCTGAAAAATACCCGCGCGACTCTCAGAAAGCGAGGCCGAGGCTGCCTGCCGGCTTCCCAGCGCGGAAAGCCTCCCCTCTGCCTCCCGGACCCCCCCCAACACCGGCAACGTGGGTGAGTGCGGGGGGCTCTGCTCGTTTTACCCCCCTCCCCCGGAGTCATTTAATTGCTGGTGACAGAGAGCGCGTGGAGGGGGCAGGTCGGGCCGTCGGGAGCTGCTTACCATGGTGCCACACCTCGGGGTGCCCGTGGAAGTACGACCCGATGCCGTGGCCGACGAAGGAAGGGCAGACCTGGAAGCCACCCTGCCGTGCCACGGAACTGCGGGGACAAAGAGGACACTGTGAGGGAGCACACCCCAACCACCACCTCCACTAGCTTGCCCCAGATCCCTGCCACTGCATTGTTACCGGCAGTGGCATAACACGGCTCCTGCAAGCTCTCATCACCACCCCGGTGCTGGATTACCTCTTTGCTCCCATTCCAAAAGACAGCAGCCATCGGTGCTAGCACCAGTGAGCCATTGTTAGGTTTCAGAGTTAACATGCCCGCCAGCAGAGGCTGGTAACTCCTGTGCCAGCTCTGCTGTCTAAGCAAGATGGCAGCATGTTGTCTCCCTGTTCAGTAACCTTTTCCATGAGTTCACTGGGAACTCGTTTGAATGTGAGACAGCTAAATGGCAGCCAAGTCACACAGCTGAGGCCCTGGCACACCACTGCCCGCACTGGGCTTTCGGTAGGAGAAGAAGGTCCTGCTGCTGACAGGGAGAGTTGAGTCCTACCTGTTCCCTTTCAGAATACTTCAAACGTGCCATACCAAAATGTATTGTAACTCCAGTACATCTATTCATGCTAATTAACAACATATTTCTAATGAACTCATTACCACAGCGGCAAAAACAAATGGTAACCATTACGGCATTTCTATTCTGCTTGGGAGATCTGTCCTGTCCTTTGTGGCCTGCCTCAAGGAGGAGCATCTCCGAGAGATGCCTGCAGGAACACAGCTCAGCACTGATCCTTACCCATGTTGGGAAAGTAAAGTCCTATCCCAGTTCATAAAAATCAGAGGACCTGGAGATACGTGGGGTGTTCTCTGACTGCTAGGCCACCCCACGGCCACAGGCTTCACTCTCAGGCTCTGCCCTTACTCCAGCAGTGGTGGAAGGGGTGACTTGCAGCAGCTCAGCCAGGAGGGCTGGCCAAATCCGAAACAGAAATGTATGGAGATCTGAGGAGATCTGGAGGTGGATTAGAAGTGACAAGGAAGCTGCCCAGACCCCTGCATATCATCCCCACACTAATTCTGAAATCAAACAGGAGCAAGACAGGAAGGCACTTAGCCTGAAAAGATTTCACCTACAACATTAAAAGCTTCATTTGTTTGCTTTAAATCAAGGTAGGCACTTAAAAACTTCAGGTTTGCCTATATTTACACCTTAATGCAGTTTGACTGCAGGCGGAAAATCGGGAAAGTTCAGAAACTCAAATAAAAGTGTAAGCTCTCACAGAAATTAAAGCATGTTAAACCCCATGGGGAGGCCCTTATTCAGGTGCAAAGTGGCCTGAGCTAGATGTAGGCAGTAATCTCTTGGCACACCAGGCTTCACGGACCCAGCAGTGCTGGCTCCACTGCTCGTAGGTCACCATCCCAGAATTTAATGCCACTGCAATCGAGGGATATGGTGCTCCACCACAGCGAAACGGTGACAAGAGAGGAGAGTCGGGTCAATGGTTAATAATGCTGCAGTGTTCAGATCTTAAGAGCGCGTTTTAACAGGATTCGTATATTAGCTTTTACCTGCCCATTGCTCTGATACAAAGATTAATCACATTTCTTTCATTAACTCTGGAGAAGAATGGAAATTTCAAGTTTAGCTGTCTCCAAACTCCTCAGCACTGGCAAAGAGGGTTACCAATAGGCTAGAAGTTGGGCTTCACTTGGTTCTATTCAAAGTCCAGAGATTTTTACCTTAAACATCGTTTATGTGGAAAAAAATCATGAATGTTTATGCAGCGGTAAGTCCTACTAGCAATGGAAAAGACTTTCTCCCCTGCCTTTCTATCACGTTACCCGTGTCTGGGTCAGAGACTTGGTCTGCTGGCTATGATGATGCTGAAGGCTGAGGAAGAAACACAGGGAATGGCGAGGAGTTAGGAAGCCACAGTACTCAGAAACATACACAAAAGGAAACGGAAGAGCTCTGGCGACCAAGCCCAGAGCAAAGCAGATAACGATTCCCACACGGGTGAAGCGATCCTCTGAAGAGAGATGGGCGAAGCTGTCCACGCAACATGTGATAAGCTTTTCTTTCACCTGCTTCTGCAAGTCTTTTTGCAAAAGCATGAACAATCCCACTGACTATCCAGCTTTGCTGATGTCCTTACACAGTACCCCTGCTCACTGAAAGAGAGCACGGTCGTTTTTTGAGATGTTTTGTAATATTACAGGATTTCCCCTAAAAAAAATCCATCTTCTGTAGCAAGACAAAAAATTATTCTTCCGAGCACCATGGCTACATGCTTTCCTGCGGGCAGGGGAAGCTCTTGCCCCAGGATTCAGCTGGTGGAGGAGGGTGGCAGCAGCAGCAGCTGCGTGCTGGGCACTGGGCATACGAGTGCCGGGGCACAGAAGGCAGTGTTAAGACAGTATCCTGTCCTCAGGAAGTGAAAGAAGTGGTTCTTGTGCATTTCAATGGCAAACTCTGCCGATTTCTTGCCAAACAGCTTGAAAACAACTCTGTTGGCATCGGTACCTCAGCGGTTACTGTCTGTGATCAAAACAGGGGATCTTGGAGCTCACAGGGCTTTGACGTCTGCACTGACAGGTGCCTGTGTCCCCTCTTCTAACCACTTAATCATGTCTACATACAGAGCTTGGGTATTCTTTACATAAAATGTAACGTGGCCAATGAACCTGAAGTGACATAGAGAAAACCTGTGGAGAAAATAAGCTGCAGGTATGAAACAGCCACATTCAATCTGGCTGTAGTATTTGCATGTGCTTCAGAAGCACCTTATGGGGAATTTCACCACACAACTAATAGCTTTACTTTGGAGTACTTAAAAAATCCTAGTGAGCTCTTACATCCTTGTGGAGTAAAACACCCAGCTTTCATAAAAAACAAAGCTACTAACCCCAGCTACAACTTGCAAAGGTAATCCTGTAAAGGTACGTGTACATGCTGGCTGTAAATCCTGGCAGGGAGGACTTTGAAACGGCCCTGAGAAGAGTGAATTCAACTGTTGATCTTGGTCAGCCTCTCCAGCCTCCAGGACTCCCCAGCTGTGGACTCTAGTTTAAAAATCAGGATGTCATGGAGTGGAGCATTTTTGCCCAAGTTTGCCATTTGCTGCTGACAACAGCTCAACATTTTGGCTTCACTGACTCCTTGCCCAGCTCAGGATCTGTCAGTGGTGGCCTTTCTTTCTAGCCTTCCCTGGAAGGCAACCTTACAAGATCGCAGCCCCAGCTCCACACACCGCTCCTTGCAGACAGGCAGCGTAAGTTCAGGCAGCCGGAGGAGTCCCGACTGCAAGTGGGAAAGCAGTGAAGGTGTGAGGCAGGAGTCAGCACAGCTAAGCCGGGCTGCCTGGCATCTGCCGTGGGAAAGGAGAGCTGCACCGCTGGGTGGACGTGCCAGTCTGCCAGTTCCCCTTGGCTGCAGGGCATGCCCCAGCTGAAATCACTTCCAGAGCAAAAGCAGGGGCAGCAGAGCCACGCTGCACTGACAGCACCGAGAAAGGAAAAAAAAGAAGATTCTTCAGAATAATCATTGTTAAAATCATCCATTGACATTTGTCATCACACATTTTAGTCTTTGAGCCATGTTGCATGCTTGGGCAGAGGTGAATTGGGCAGGATTAAAAGCATAATCATTTAACGAGCCCAGTACTTGATTTTATGTTTTGCTGCCATGTGTTCCAGCCCAGTGGCTGCGGAGTCAAGAGTACCTGCAGTGCTGCTCCTCTTTTGCTGATGGCAAAGCCAGGCAAAATGTCTGGCATCAGGATGGACAAGCAGCGGCCCAGCTGGTAAAGGAACATCCCTGAGGGCCAGGCTGTCCACCTGAACCAAAGGCAGAGCCTCTTGCATGGTGGTATCATGCTTCTGAGAGTGAACAGAGACAGGAGAGTTGGGCATCAATTCCCTGCTAAGCATCCTCTTCCCGTGTTGCCAGACAACAGCTAATTCTGAAAAAGCAAGGATAAGTGTGCAGACATGCATTGCTGTCCTGCCAGCTGCCCAACAGGGAAATTGCGACAAACCAGCAACAGGCAGGACCAGCTCTCTACAAAGCTCTTCCTGATCCTCTGGAGCCTCCCCTGAAAGGAGTTCTTTGGTGAATGGGATAAATCTCTCTAGCTAAGAAGCTGAAAAGCAGGTCTAAAGAATTTCCTTAGGGGGCTGGTCCTGTGCAGATAGCCTCTCGGAGAATCTACGGGATAACTGGCATCCCAGCTCCAGAGGAAAAAACATCCATTCAGTCTTAGGACTGGAACTCGCATTTTTTTTTGGGGAAAAACCACCCCAAAACATGCATTTTCTTTTCTTTCTACCGAATTTTGTGACTTTTTTTCCTCAAGGCAGGTCTGGTCCAGTATTCTAAGCCCTCACCAAAGAAACAACGTGAAACAAATGCCATTTTCAGCATTGACGGCAACTGCCTCTCTGGGCTCTTAGTGGCACAAGGGAAGAATTCGGCTGATCAGACAAGATGGCACAGACTGCTTCGCTACCCAGGTTGAATGTCCTGGTGAACTGATTTCCAGCTAGGGATGCTTCTCCCGCAGTGCCAGCTTCGCTCCCCAGGGATGAAACTTTATCAACAGTGGTTTTGCAGAGCAGCATGACATAAACGGCTGAAGTTGCTAAACAAACCTGTCTTACACGTCTGGGCAGTGAACACCATCAGGAAGCACTGAAAGCAGTAACAGACCTATGAGAAGTGTTTTCTTACTTAGGGATCCATATGAATGTATCTTTTTTTTTTTTTTTTAATTAGAAGTAATCACATTTTTCTTAGATATGTGGTTAGTAAAATGACCACTGAATGGCATGTTTGCTTTCTTTAAAAAAAAATTCTTGAAAACAGCATCAGCCTAAACTAGATTTGCTCATAATAAAAATACTAATTTTGAATACTACCATATTACTGAATTAGAGAAATTACAAAATTCTACTGGGAAAACATTAAAGTATTTTTCTCTTAAACAGTAATCCTAGACTGAGGGAATGCACAAGTTCAGGGATTCCCTATAATGACAATAAATGTTGAGGTATAATTAGTAATATTTTTGAAAGCCAACAATTGTTTTTTGAAAGAAAGGTACATTTTAGTTTCAAACTGGAACACAAATTACTGTATTTTTCTTACAATAGTGCTGAACTTTTATTTGAGGTTCTCTGTTTCTGAAAGCAGACATGATGGATTGAAATAAAAGATAATTTATTGCAATGCTTACTTTCAAGTGCAGAGAGAAGCAGTGTAATTGTAATTTACAGTAGCTGTCAAGGAAAATCTATCACAGATGACATTAAAATGACTTATTTTGCCTGAGCCACTTATTGTTTAAATGTGCATAATCTGATAGAAACAGATTTTTTTTTTTAAATCTGCTTTATATTGTTCTAAATTAATATCAAAACATATACTTAGGAGTTAAACATTTTAAACCATTTATTAATACTTTCATCACTACTATTTTTTCCTATGAGTTGGAAATTGGTTTATTTAACAATATCACGTTTATGTTTTTTAGCTCTCTACACTCACAACACTTCCACATACCTAAACTCACTGTCTAAAAGTAGATTTCAAACTAGATTTGTTTCTGTCTGAAACGTCAGAAATGGTAGAAAAAAATGGAACATAGGGCCCAATTCTGTTTCTACTGGAGCTGGTCGACAGTTTTGCCACCACCTTTGATAAGAACAGGTTAGCAAAGACTCAAATTTTTCTAAGCAAAGTCACCTACAAATTCATGCAATCTTTTATTTGCAACTTGTAGCTGATGGGAAAAGGAACTGCTATCCAAGGAACACTCAGTGTCAGATATCGAGCTTCCATAACAAAGACTACATTAGAATACTGAATGCAAAATTACCTCTGCGATATAATTATTCCCAAACCTACTGTAGAGAGGAAATATTCTGATTATTTCTGCTTAAGATACATTCTGCATATCACTTCAGCACCTTTATAGAAAATATTGATGACAGAAACCTAGACACATTTCCATTCTGATGGGCCTAAAGGTTTTCAGCTTGTAGATGCTTGTTCTCAAGTATTTATGATTTCTAACTGTTCTGAAAGTTAAGATTTTGATATATGTATTATGTACGTATGTCTGTCTGCATGCAAATGTCAAATGACAACCCGAAACACACAGCTTCACCAAACCAAGGCGATCTTTTGGCAGAGGCAGTGTTAAAGTAGTTCTAAACAAACCAACCCATTTAAATCGTCTACACGATCAAATCTTGAGAAATAAAGTTAATGACCTGCTATTTCATATGTAGTTTTGAACAGCTACTAGCTTTGATTAATCTGCTTTTCAAAGGGGGCGCAGACTACATATTTACACTTTGCAAGTAAACTGACCTCCGCACCAACACAGCAGAAATCGAATGTCACATTCAATTCTCTTCTTCTTCTTCTTTCTTTTTTCTTTCTTTTTTTTTTTTTTTTTAAATACAGCTAAAATTAATGTAGTGGATCTGTAATGAAATGCATTATCCTGCATGGAGATTTATCAGATTTTCCAACTGAATGCCACGCTTTGCTAGCACTAGCTGGAGTTCACCTGCATGTTGGTGTGGCGTGTGGCTCTTTTTTGTAAAGAGTTAAGTTGAACACAAAAAAAGGGAACAAAGGTCAGCACCCAGCCGCCACTTGAATGTGAGATTTTTCTTTTTATTCCCCTTGATGTATACTAGGCTCTGTGTTATTAGTCTTAATGATGGAAAATTGTAGTGTTGATACAAATCTTTTTTTCAAAGTAGTAGGCGGGAGCTCCATTTGTTAGTAAGTTTTTTTGTGACTAAAAGCCACGGACAGTACATTTATGTAGCAGTAAAAGGCCTAGATGCTCTTTCCATAGCAGAGCTAATTATTCCTACTGTGACCTTACTGATCTACCCTGTTCCTAGTACATCTCATCTGCACGCCTGTTCCTCTGTGTAGATGGTGTCAGAGAATATGAAAAACCCTATAATGAAACCATTTTCATGATGGAGAAAGGCTACTGGAGTTGCACTTGCTACAAAGAGGCTCAATTATATGAGTAATTGTGATAATTTTCTACATTCATAGCCTTCAATGGGGAAAAAAGAATGAGAGCCACAAAGGAAAATTACTTTAACAAGAAAGTACAGAGAGTAAAAATGGAAGAAGAGACAAAAAGGGAGAAAAAAATAACCAGAAAAAAAGTTTAAAAAATAGATCTGGAGGGAGGAATAGCAAGACAGGGAGAACAACAGAAATGCTCAAAAAGCCTATGTGCAGCTGTGTTGCACAATTAAATTGAATTTTTTTTCTGCAGTTGATGAATGTGACTACTGCAAATGTGCCTCTGTAGTTAGCTATCATTTGTTGTTCCGTGACAGGAAAAGGATAATTACCTCTCAGAGAGAATCAAAGGCTGACATGCCCTTTAGACACAGCCATGAATGCAGAGCTCGATAGAATGCTTGAATAAGAATCCAGTGTTCTGTGCCCCCTTCTACTCAAGAATAAATTTTGTTAAAATGCAAGAGCACCACCAGTAAATTTGTTGAACCCTAGGTGTTCAAAAATATGAGGTGCATCTATCGACTCATCCCATTTGCAAAAATAAAACTACATTTTGAATTCACTTCTATTATATTCATGGACAGTAAGATAGTGAGATATGCATTAAATTTCTTTTCCCAGTAGGGGTCTGATTCAACATTTCCTATGAAAGAACAGAAAGACACTATCCTTTTTCTCCAGGCTAGTTAGCCTATAATTTAAAACTGTCAAAAACACAATTTTATACAAAGTCTTCAATAAAAGCTTCTCAGATATAACCCAAAGAGGTTTTACTAAAGTTTGATTCAGACTCTGTTACAATATTTTTAAAGCTATAAATACATCTAACTGATATTTTGCCGTTCTCTTTTTTCCTTAAAGTATTTGAAGATTTACAAGGAAAAAAAAGCAGCATCCTTTCAAGGTGACTAAGCCTTGCAGCTTTTAAGTAATCAGAATATATTCAATTGCATGTTGGGACCATTAATAGTCCAGTGAAGTATTGCTTAATGAAATGTATACGATATATGTCTATTTTTTTTTTGGCAAACATTTTAAAATAATCCATAGGTACCTTCAAAAACTAAGCTGCATTTTTATTCAAAACTGCCAGCAGAAGAAGAGTCATGACTGCATTTATGTGAAGGCTAGAAGAGATGCAAAATAGGGAAAAATCTCTGAATGTGAGCGCTTTTTCCTTGTGATGTTTGCATGCACTGCTCTTTGTAAGATCAGAAGCTCTTGAGTTAAATATTTTTGTACTTTTTAAACAAAGAGACTTATTTATGTCGACTATTTTCTTTGTAACATTCGCTATTACTATACAATGAAAACAATGGTTTCTAACATTATATCATTAGACAGATCTGGTGTAGTTTCACATACAAATAAAAAAATAAACAAAAAACAACCACAAATTACATCCGTTAATTTAAATTTACCTTATGAATATCTTTGACTCTTTCTACAGCTATCTTTGCTGACCCTAGTGTAATTCACTTTAAAAAAAAAAAAATCTCTCTTACCCAAGGAACAACATTATAGCTTGGCAGTTCACATACTGATATCAGACTGAAATGATGGTTTTGAATCATAAAACATGTCATCAGCTTTATACCAAACCACCAATAACCTTTGTCCCACTTGCCAGCCCTCCCTTTACTTGTCAATATAAGGCTTACCTGATTGTGTTTCCAATTACAGAGAAGGGAGCCCCTGGTCTGCAAGCAGCAATTGCTTCATCTCTACATTTCCTGGCAACCTCCACTAACTTTTGACCAGATTTATCCACATTGCCCACCAAAAAGGTTTCAGAAGTGTCACCATGGTAGCCATTGTAATATACCTAAACATATGCAGAAATGTAAAGACCTTTTCTCGTTTTGCATCCAGACACATATCGTCTCCTTAATTAAATCCATTCTTTCTAAGATCAAGCTATATATTGCAACAGATAGACCATGAGTAAGCTGTACTTGTGAGAATGAGACTGGAAAAGCAAAGTGTCGCAGAGAAAAGAAAAAAATAAAAAGGTGTGAAAGACTGCAAGGTGCGCAAGGGCTGACAATTAAAAATTCAAGAAATGCAAAAGTTGTGCGTCTCTGCCCCGTGGTGCACCAGGTGACGACATTACTCACCCACAAGACATAAGACTAACTGGGCTGTATACGAGAAGATGGGTAGGGGCCATGCATGGGCTGAAGGGCGCCTTGGGGGCTCTTGGGTGCCCACCTGCCCCGGCTGCCCACCCCTACTCACACCCCACAGGGGTAGGACATTGAGCCCTGGTGCTGGCCAGGGGTGCCAGGATACCCATCGTCAGCTACTGGGGAGACCCGTCCCTCTGCAGCCAGCATACCCTGGCAGGGTTTTGAAGTGATGCTGTGCACAGTTGCACCAGAGGTGGACTCTGATATCAACATCCAGAGGGAACCCCACAGAAAGCACGGGCCAAACCCACCACCAGTCGTTGCATGTTTTCTTTATCCTCATTTTTGAACTACAATGTGGCATTAACACTGGATCTTACTTCTGATTTCCAGAGATAAATTTTGGAAGAGAATAAATGCACTATTATGGCACCGTGAAGTTTCACATGCTGAAAATGTAGCACCCTGTTGAACTAATTATGTATTGGGTTTGTTTTTTTTGACATTTCACAGGTTTTAAGTCTCAGTTTTCCAGAAATTCTCTGCCAGGCATAGGAAACCCTGGCTACGCACTATGGAGCTCTGCAACGCGCCATTAAAATGGGGTTTGCAGCTCTGCAGTACGGCAGGCAGGCGCATAATTGTAAGACCAAGCCAAATTTCCCTACGGAAAGACAAATTATAATGGTGCACAGTTTTGATCTTCTAAAACATTTTTTCTCCTGCGAACAGTGGGCAACTATCCTTCTAGGACTAATAACTCACAAAGCTCGAAGCACTGAACTTTTGCCACTGGCGAGCTATTTGTGAAAGACAGACTCACATTCTTTTTGGTCGATTCTAAACTAAAAAAAAAGTAAAAAAAAAATTGGCTACAGACAGTTTATCCCAAGGCCAGGTTTGTGTTCAGGCCGAGATGTGAAGAAAATGCAGGCAGTTTGGAGTGAAGAGTGTTTTAGAGAAAGGTGAGGGCCAGCAAGGACCCAACGGCGTCGCCACTGCTCTGGCGGAGAGTGCCAGCGATCCCTTGCTCTACACCTTCCTCTGCCAGTACAGTTGCCACTAAATCTTTTTTTTTTTTATAATTTAATGCCCATTGGGAAGGTTTTAATCCAGCTAGTTCATATTTAAACTGAACTAGTTCATTTTTAGCTCCAGCAAGTACAACACACAAAACCCCAGCATTAAACATCATCATCCTGGAAAAACAAATACAGATATAAAACATAGGAGAGTTTAAAAATAATAATAATATTTACTGCAGCCCATCAACTGCAATTACATTTGCAATTTTGACGTTAATAAGCTACAACCACAGCAACTGTAACACACTAATTCCTTAAAAGTCAATGAAAGAAACAAGTTGTAAGAAACATTAACCTGGTAATGCTGGCTGAAAATTGTGCTATGCTGAGGATTCTGTGATGGATAATGCCATTGTTTCTACACTAAAATACATTTTAAAGGCTACATGAGTCAAGACAATAAAATTTGTATTTCATGTATGAAATTCTACCATCTTAATTGTGCAAAAACGATTTTTTTCTTCAAATGATTTGTACATAGCATGAAGTGTTTACACTTAATAACCAGAATATTATTTAATCATTTTACAGAACCTGTACACAATTATAAAGTGTTGTGCAATATTTACTTTGATTTTTATTCTGTCCACCTGTGAAATGCTGCAGTTTTGCTTATTAAAAATAAGCTAAAAGATCAATTAGCAATGCTGAAAAATAGAATTTTTTCCTCAGCTATTTTGCAACTGAGCAATTACCAAACACAGCACAGTTCAGTTTTAAAAGATAAAAAAACCTTACAAAGATAATCAGCAACTCCCATCCTTTCAGGAATCTTCACATTCACAGAAATGTCAAGATTTATTTTATTTTATGAGGGTAAACAGAAAACAAATAAAAATATGTCTTCAAAAAGACCAGCAACACTTAGTCAGATGTTATTTGTAAAGCAGAGTGGACAAAGTATTCACACCACATTAATATAAAAATGTCTCATTTAGTTTATCATGGAAAGTATCTGTGACATGAATCTACACTTTTTTATAATCTAAGATGTCATTATTATCCTGACAGATAAAAAAAGAAAATGAACCTTAAAGAGATGCAAATAAATCAGATGTTAAATCCTTAGCAAACTGATTCAGTCTAATAAAATGAGCAAAGCTACACCAGTTCACCAAAGTAAAAACGTAAGCCAAAAATACACTTTAAAAATTATAGATTGCACTGTGAAAAGCTGATAGTAAGAGTTCTAGAATTAGAAAGTACGGAAATGGGGAAAAATTTAGAAAGATGAAAAAAATGAACCAAATCAAACCCACTTCTGGATCACACATGAGCATACCATGGGAAAAGGGTCACTGACCCTAATTTTAATAGAAAAAATATTTCAGAAAGCTTGAATCTCATGCACAGAGGTAGGTCTGCTGGACATTTCTTCACTTCTGCCAGTATGAAATTCAGGCCCATGGAAAATAGTATCAAGTTACCAAGAGTTTCTTTAATGATTAAAAAAGCTTGTTTTTATGAGATGTTCCTCCCTTGTGTGTGACATACTATTGCAAAATAATGTTGAGATTCAAAAGACGTCTGTGTTCACATTAGAAATAAACAGCACTTTGCTGAAAATAAAAACATGCATAGTAAAAAGAATAAAAGCTTCTGCAAGAGACGAGTAATTACTTTCTTTTTTTCATAAATGAAATGAGAATTAGGTTTCCAGTTTCCGTACTTTCTTGCTCCCAAGAAAATCCAGCCAGTGTTTATTTAAATAGCTATAATTGACCATTCCCTGGAAATATTAAGTCACAGTTATATCACACTATTTCTGTTTCTGTGCAAAAGGTTCAGGGCTTTTATACCAGAAATGGAACACAACACTACCTTCGGGGATTTTAATAAATGTAGGGAACACTGCTAGCAAAAGAGTTGCTGTCCAAATAGACTGACATACACAGGCCAATGTAGCCTCTAATGACAGA